AGCGCCAGCCCAGAGCCGTCCCGCTCTGCAGACCCCGCGTGCTGCATCGACAGCCCAGAGCCGGCCCGCTCTGCAGACCCCGCGTGCTGCATCGACAGCCCGGAGCCGGCCCGCTCTGCAGACCCCACGTGCTGCATCGACAGCCCAAGTACTCGACCATAAAAAGAAATGAAGGTTCAACATACCCTCGTAAAGTGTCTTGGCCTCTTCTCCGCACGCGGTTTGCTGGCTGCCTTTCCTCATAGCCGGCAAATCTCTCTGCCTGCAAGTCTCCTTCATATTGGCCCTGGGCTTGCTCCATGTACAACAACGCTGAACATCCCAGCATGAACTTGGCCAGCCACAACACCCCCATGATGGCACCGAGTCTTTGGTTCCCTCTGCTGCCCTGAAAGCCTCTTCCAGTTGCTGGTGGAGGAAGGACTCTGGCAGCAAACACCGAGGGCCCCTTCTGAGCCTAAAGCAGAGACAGGGCAGAGGAGACACACGTGTTTCAGGGCTTTCACAGTTTTAAAATGATCATTCAGCGCCCGACCCCCTCCCCCGCATTCATAGCATGAGGTCATAACATTGCACTGACTTTGGCTCTCTTGTTCAGGTTCCAGCTAACACGCTCGCGCACACAGCCGCTGCCAGAGAATTCCTTTCCCAAGAGCTGGGCACGGACAGAGGCAGCTCCCTCTGGAGCATTGCGGAGAGCAGATACTTTCTTCCCTCTGCGCCCCCTGGGCCCACCTACAGGGGCACCCAATTTCTGCAGCATGGCCGGAGGTTTGGTTGCTGCAGGCCCCCAGAATTCAGGGGTTTCCCAGGAGAAGTAGCCTCGTATTTTGGGGCCACTCCGGCTTGCCAAATTCCCCAGCTCCATCCTCCCAGCTCCACGTGCCCGTCCGACCGGGAGGGGCAGGGGCTGGGATGGAGAGAGGCATGGGCAGTACACTGCCCTGAAAGCCATGTTCCCAGCGCCTCGTCTTCCACCTGAAATCCCCTTCCTCTCCCCAGGGCTGACGGGGACTGGTGGGGAGAGGGGGTGAGCGTGGAGGGTCTGCATGAGCTGGAATGGCAGGCACGTCCCTGGGCCAGCGAGAGGAGGGTCCATGTCACGGGCTAGGGCTGGGCTGGCGTTTGCAGGGCCTCAGTGAGAGCAGCAGGCGTCTGGGCCATACAGGGGCTGGCGTGAGCTCTAGGCCGAGCAGCGAACAGAGTGGCAGGGAAGAGCCCGTGCGTGAGCGGGGCCAGACCAGGTGCGGGGGGGAGGGGGTGTCAGCCTGACTCAGCATGAAAGCTGGGGGGGGGGCGATTGTAATGCCGATGGTGGGGTCCAGCAGTAGCAGGCCTGGGGTGTCCCTTAGCACCAGCAAGGGGAGTAGCCCAGGGTGGGCACAGGGCACCTGGGTCTGCAAACAGGCCAGCGTCAGAGCATCTGCCCTCAGTCCGGAGCGTCTGCCTGGCATCAACCTGTGCTGTGGCCTGTGGGAGACAAGGCCTGGGCATGTCCCCAGACACAGCCCACGCCCAGGTCCCAGGCCACAGCTCCAGTCACTTTGCCACGGCCTGGGTCACTGAGCACCGAGACACCTGCCCAGGGAGCAGACTGCCTGGACAGCCACCCGGAGGAGGCGCCTCAACACCGGGGCGCTTGCGTACGGGGAGGGACTCAGCCCGTGTCACTGGGGGTCATGGCCAGGGGAGGCCCTGAGGAGAGGGATTCGGCTCGTGTCACTGGGAGCCGTGGCTGGGGGAGGGGCTGGGGGTTGGGACTTGGCCCGTGTCACTGGGGGTC